GGGGGAGGAGGAGCGGGAGAGGGAGGGACTGAGTGAAGGGCGGGAACGGCGAGGAAGGAAAGGGCGGCGGGAGGGGAAGAAGAGAAGAGAGAGACTGTGAGCGCGATCGGTTCTAAATACCTGTACGGATTACTAATCTTCGTAGATCAAAGCTCGTATTCCATCAGTCGAAACTGTTTTCTCAACAACTCCTGCTCCGACACCTACACGCGGAAAGAGAGAGGGAGGGAAGGGAGGGGAGGGAGGTTGCGGGAGGGAGGGAGGGAGGGAGGGAGGAATGTGGAGTTCGGGGGGGGAGGGGGGGGATCTGGGCGTTGGGGGAGAGACAGGACGCAACACTGAGGCGGTGGGAAGGGACTAAACCGCGGTGCTTGATTTCCGCATTGGCCCGCCCTCATGATCAAACCCGTAGATTTGAACACATACAGAGTACATTCTGCATATGCAGACTTACAAGGCTACGTAGGGTCTTGGAATATCTGCATATGCAGACTTACATACAGGCTACGTAGGGTCTTGGGTTGGAATAGACGAAAGGGAGGTAACCCCAGCACAGAGCACAGACGTAGCTGAGCAAGTGGATAATTTTTTTTTCCTTTTGTTTCTAAAAAGCTAAGCTATATTCTTCTCTCAACAAGGCTCAGGGCTGGATCCCACAGGCTCGCGGTATCTTTGCGGCCAGAAAGCATCCGCCAGCACACATGGTAGCCGTCAGAAATGGGCAAGAGAAAAGGGACTCCACTGCCATAGCCGATTTGGGCACGTACGTTACCAGATCAGGAAGACTTGCCCTTTCAGGCAAGGTCGCAGCCCGTCAGGGTTGCATTTTATGCCCTTGAGACCTTCAAAGGCAATTCAACTTTCAACGTGGATGGTGGACATTCGGAAGGGTGGGCAATTTTGAGGTGAGGGCTTAGCAAGGGGCAGGGCATGTGAAGGACTGGTAGCTGCCCGTAGGAGGCCGAGGAGGCCTCAGTCCTTGAGTTGGACATTTCAAAATAGAAACGGCGTGGGAGGCCGAGGAGGCCGCTGTCCTTGAGTTTTGAACATTTCAAAATTGAAACGGTGTGTGTCCACTTTTCTCAAATAGAATAGCACTTCGTATAGAAAACATACGAGTTTTATTCGAATATAACGTGTCCTTTCTATTCAAAATTTCGAAAAGAAAAAGCTCTTGTGTTCCAATAGAACATTACCTTTTATCTTTTTTTTTGGAGGTCAGCCCTTGCCCGTGTGCTCCCCGC